GGTTTGGGACCATCCTACCTGCGTGACCGCATCTCCGTTTATGAACCCACGCGCTCACTTCGTTCATCCGGAGAGGCCCTGCTCGTGATTCCGCCAGCGTCACAGGCGCGTTTGGTGGGGACGCGAGACAGGGCCTTTTCTGTGGTGGCCCCCCAACTCTGGAACACCCTCCCCAAAGATCTTAGACAGGCCCCTACATTGGCAGTCTTTAGAAAGAACTTGAAGACCTGGCTGTTCCGATGTGCCTTTCCAGAATAGGAAATCTCCAATACCAAGTCCCAGAAGCACTTTATTAGAATTAAGATTGCTGCACACTGCACACTGCACTTGCCCTATAATCCTTACATATTACCTGTCACATCAGCACTTTTAATCCTGTACCCATTACTCTGGCCCAGCCCAGTTTTATTGTGTTTTAGTGTATTGTTTATTACTTGTTGTTTAATATTGCTTTAATTGTTTAATTTGCTTTAGGTTTTGTATTTTATGTTGTGTTTTGAGGCCTTGGCCTTTGTAAGTCGCATCGAGTCCTTCGGGAGATGCTAGCGGGGTACAAATAAAGATAATAATAATAATAATAATAATAATAATAATAATAATAATAACTGTAATTTTGCTACTGTTATGAATCGTAATCTAAATATGTGATATGCAGGATGTGTTTTCATTGTTACAAATTCAACATAATTAAAGCATTGTGATTAATCAGAAAAAAATATGTTTGGGGGAGTATGGAAAACAGATGATGAGATTTGCAGTACCTTCAACCTATTCAGCTTTGACTTCCACAGACCACTGAGACCTCCACACAGAACTCCCATGTCAAACAAAAAATACTGGAGGGGTTTGGGAGGAATTGACAGTGATTTAGGGGAGATGTAGTTCACCTACATCTGGAGAGCATTGTGAACCCAAACAACTATGGATCTGGACCAAACGTGGCACAAATACTCAATATGCCCAAATTTGAACACTGGTTGAGTTTAGGGGAAATAGACCCTGACATTTGGGAGTTGCAGTTGCTTGGATGTATAGTTCACCTGCCATCAAAGATTATTCTGAACTTCACCAACAATTGAATTGAACTAAACTTGGCATACAAGACTCCCATGACCAACAGAAAATACTGGAGACATTTGGGGAAAATAGACCCTGACATTTGGGAGTTGCAGTTGCTTGGGAATATAGTTCCCCTGTCATTAAAGAGCATTCTGAACATCAACAATCATGGAATTGATCCAAACCTGGCATACAGAACTCCCATGACCAGCCGTATTGAGTAGGCAAGGGGGCTGCGCCAACCGTGGTGCCTTCGCGACCCCCAGAAAATGGCCCAGTGACCCCCCTGGGTGTCGGGACCCCCAGGTTGAGAACCGCTGCTCTACTGGATTGATACCTCAACTTTCCAATAGCTCAACAAAGCTTTGTTTCATGCACAAATTTATTTTAAAATATTGTACAAAACACCTTCAGGTATATAAAGTATACATGTAACATAAATGCATTTTTTATTTACTTCACTTGTATATTGCTTTTTATCACCCGGGGGGGGGGGGGGGTAGGGAACGGGACTCAAAGTGGTTTCCAACACATCCATTTGACCCTTTCAGTGCTTGAGTCATATTTTTGTGGTCGCGTCTGTCAGCAGCTTATGATACTGTAAACCACCGCCTCCTCCTGAGAAAAATGCATAATATCACAAAGGACTACCATCTCACCCGCCTCATCTTGGAGGAGGTGGGGTTCACAGCACCATTAAAGCCTTGGCAGACCGTGCAAAAAGAATTTGCGAACCCCACCTCCTCCAAGATGAACTGAACCACCTCAACTGGGCTCTCCAGGCCAATGGAGACTCCACCTCAGACATCAGAAGAGCTGCAAGACCAAGAACAAACCACGAGAGTCAAGATGAAGATCCACCCAGAGGAAAAGTGTTCCTGCCATACATCAAGGGAACCACTGACCGCAGAGGGAAGCTGATGAGGAAACACAACATACAAACAATCTACAAACCCACCAAGAAAATCCAACAAATGCTACGTTCAGCAAAGGACAAGAGGGATCCTCTCACCTCTGCAGGAGTCTACCGTCTACCATGCAGCTGTGGACAAGTCTACAGAGGAACCACCAAACGCAGCATTGCCCAGACACGCATCAAGGAACATGAAAGGCACTGCAGACTACTTCAACCAGAGAAGTCAGCCATAGCAGAGCACCTGATGAACCAGCCTGGACACAGCAGATTATTTGAGAACACAGAAATGCTGGACCACACCAACAACCACCATGTCAGACTACACAGAGAAGCCATTGAAATCCACAAGCATGTGGACAATTTCAACAGAAAGGAAGAGACCATGAAAATGAACAAAATCTGGCTACCAGTATTAAAAAACTCTAAAATTACAACAGCAAACAGCAGAGAGGAAACAACCAGGCACATCTTAACACCTCTCAACAAAGATTTCCCAGGCTCAGCCAGGCCTTCAAATGCTAATGAAGGTGGTCAGTTGAAACATTCACACCTAGCTCCAGCAGAGAAGAGCTCTTTGCCCCACCCCAGCCATTCCACAGATATATAAACCCATTGTCCTAATTCCAACAGACCTCACTACCTCTGAGGATGCTTGCCATAGATGCAGGCGAAACGTCAGGAGAAATGCCTCTAGAACATGGCCCTATAGCCCGAAAAACCCCACAAGAACCTACATATTGAAATGGATATAGATAATCCGTTTCATCTGGAAATCCCTGCAGTTGGGAGGCCACCACACACTCCAAAACATTGCTCAGAAAGGGGAAGTTGGACACTTGCCCATAATTGTCCATTATAGAAAGGTTCTGGGATGGCTTCTATAAATATAGGTCTCATAACTGCCTCCTTTAGAAGAGCTGGAATTGTGCCTTGTTCCAAGGAGGCATTGACCTTACACACAGAAGCCTTAACACATGATGGCCTTCAACCTGGGGCTTCTCTCTACGAAGCTTCTCACACACCAGGCCGACTCACACCAAGGCCTACTAGCACTGAGGCGTACCTCGCACTGAGGCCTTCTCACACTCTCAGACTGAGGTGTTCTCATACTGAGGCAAACTAACACTGAGGCACACCTGCTTATATTGAACTGCAGCTTTTGCTGAGTCATTGCATCCACTTGACCCTTTCAGTGCTTGACTCACATTTTTGTAATTAAAAATGCCTAGTTATTTCATAGAATCATAGAATCAAAGAGTTGGAAGAGACCTCTTGGGCCATCATCCAGTCCAACCCCATTCTGCCAAGAAGCAGGAATATTGCATTCAAATCACCCCTGACAGATGGCCATCCAGCCTCTGCTTAAAAGCTTCCAAAGAAGGAGCCTCCACCACACTCCGGGGCAGAGAGTTCCACTGCTGAACGGCTCTCACAGTCAGGAAGTTCTTCCTCATGTTCAGATGGAATCTCTTCTCTTGTAGTTTGAAGCCATTGTTCTGCGTCCTAGTCTCCAGGGAAGCAGAAAACAAGCTTGCATCCTCCTCCCTGTGGCTTCCTCTCACATATTTATACATGGCTATCATATCCCCTCTCAGCCTTCTCTTCTTCAGGCTAAACATGCCCAGCTCCTTAAGCCGCTCCTCATAGGGCTTGTTCTCCAGACCCTTGATCATTTTAGTCGCCCTCCTCTGGACACATTCCAGCTTGTCAACATCTCTCCTCAATTGTGGTGCCCAGAATTGGACACAATATTCCAGGTGTGGTTTAACCAAAGCAGAACAGAGGGGTAGCATGACTTCCTTAGATCTAGACACTATGCTCCTATTGATGCAGGCCAAAATCCCATTGGCTTTTTTTGCCGCCACATCACATTGTTGGCTCATGTTTAACTTGTTGTCCACGAGGACTCCAAGATCTTTTTCACACCTACTGCTCTCGAGCCAGGCGTCCCCCATTCTGTATCTTTGCATTTCATTTTTTCTGCCAAAGTGGAGTATCTTGCATTTGTCACTGTTGAACTTCATTTTGTTAGTTTTGGCCCATCTCTCTAATCTGTCAAGATCGTTTTGAATTCTGCTCCTGTCCTCTGGAGTATTGGCTATCCTCCCAATTTGGTGTTGTCTGAATATTTCTGACAATCTTCATCCACTCTGCATGGCCTGTGCTGGAGTTCAGCCTGTGATTGTGTTTCAGGATCAGGGTGCTTTAGATGTGGGGAATGATGTAAATGAGGCTCAAGATGGCAATGGTTTGGTCAGTGATATTGATGCAGAGAATGACAGAGAGACAACTGTTCAAAGTGTAGTTTTCCATGAGAATGTTCCTACAGGGTATAGGGATGATGGTTTACTCCCTGAATTGCTCCCAGAAAGTTCCCAGGATTTGGGGCTTGAAAACAACTCGGCACCTGCAGAAACTAATAAGCATATAGATAGGCGGGTGGAAATTAGTCAAAACAGACAGACCGAGCAATGCCTTCGGAGTTCTGCCAGGCTCCGACAGAAAAAGATAAGTGCCATTCAAGGAAAGCGAAACCAGTTCCTGAGAGCATGGAAAGATTTACAAGTTCCAAGCATGGAAAATATAGTCAGATGAGGCATCGTTTAGAATTCTGCTAAGTTCTTGTCCTCGTCTCATAGAAGCCCTACTTGGAAGATTCATGCTTAAAGATGTCTTGTTTCCTGTTTGGTTTTTTGTCTCTTGTGATTACCTGCTCAGGCCTTGGATCAACGTTTCCTGGTTCTTTGGATTTTGTTGGAGACTTGTGGACTTTGCTTTTTGACATTGCTGAACTCTACCTTGGACTAATTTTGTTCCTGCTTATCTTCTTACCTAATTGGATTTACCTATTCCTTTAAAGTGCTTTTTTTGCTTTGCTGCTTTTACTTATCTTCAATAAAAGGATTGTTTTCCTTACTCAATGTGTGGTGTTTTAAAGTTAGAGGGTTATTCCTGTTCTCGAGTGTAACAAGAGGTGTGAAAGCATTCAGTAAATAACTCTCTGCCATTGTTCTTGATTTTCTAGAGTTGACAATTCGGAAGATCCAGTGTATGAGAGCCTAGAGGAGTTCCACGTTTTTGTCCTAGCACATATATTAAGGCGGCCGATTGTGGTTGTTGCAGATACCATGTTGCGCGACTCTGGAGGCGAAGGTGAGTGTTTTTGTTGGCCTCTTACATCTGTTATGAACTCCACCATCTCAAGGGATACATTAGCTCATAATTAAAAGGGTGTAATGAAGGCAGTGATAGAATGCTCACTACAAAAGAGTTTTCTAATGCTGTTTTGCAACTTCCTTCTTCTGAAATATAATCTGCATAGACTCTCATGCTTTTGAGTTGGTAGGCCACATATTCTTTGTGAAAAGCTTTATTATATTCAAGGGTTGAATGAAAAGTAATGCCTCCACCTTCGTAACTCCTCAACAGATGGCAGTACTAGTATGCGGCAGGTACTGGCTTGTTCAGTAGACTCTCCACTTAAATCTAGACATAGTTTTCTAAGATCTACAGAGACACTCGCTGGAACATCTCAGCAAGCGAGAGTCCAAAAGTGGCAGACTCAAACCCAGCACCTCAACCAATGGCTGATACCAAATGAGAGACTCCCCCCTGGGCACACAGAGGACTGGGCGACCTGGAAGGCACTGAACAGACTGCGCTCTGGCACCACGAGATGCAGAGCCAACCTTCAGAAATGGGGCTACAAAGTGGAATCCACGACATGCGAGTGTGGAGAAGAGCAAACCACTGACCACCTGCTGCAATGCAACCTGAGCCCTGCCACATGCACAATGGAGGACCTTCTTGCAGCAACACCGGAGGCACTCCAAGTGGCCAGATACTGGTCAAAGGACATTTAACCAACTACCAAACTCACAAGTTTTGTATTTTTCTGTTTGTTTGCTTTGTTCTGTTAGAAATGTAATATGATGGACTGGTTGCTCTGACACAACAAATAAAAAATAGTAGACTCTCCTCTACAGTTCCATTTTGACAGGAAGCCTTAGCATTGAACGGTTGAGTTGTTAAAGTGCAAAGTATGGAACTCTGTGCAGATAGTCGGTCAGTGAGACTTAAGCAACGTGCAGTCATTGAATTCTTGACAGCGGAAGGTGTCACCCCAAAGGAGATTAATCAGAGAATGCAAGCTGTTTATGGTGGATGTGAGTACTGTGCATCGTTGGGCGAGTAAGTTTAAAGATCTTGAGGTGGGAACATCTGACTTGCGTGACAAACAAAGAGTTGGAAGTCCTGTGACAGCAACCACCGAGTTTCACAAGCAAAAGGTTGACAGATTGATTCAGGACGATCGTCATGTCACTCAGAGAGAAATTTCAAGCATAATCGGAATTTCACAAAAACGTGTTGGTCACATTATTGCTTTGCTTGGCTATTGGAAGATCTGTGCACGATGGGTACATTGAGAGATGCCAGTTGCCGAAACAGAGTGTCGACTTCTTCCGTGACAGCTTCAGAAAACTTATTCATTGTTGGCAGAAATATATCCAATTGTCTGGTGATTATCTATAAAAGTGAATAGTGGTAGTTAAAGAGCACATTCTCAGGATTATTTCTGCATTTGATTTATTAAAATATTCCCATCCAGACCCAAGTAACAAAGGTGGAGGCATTACTTTTCATTCAGCCCTCGTAGTAAGCTCTAGGGCTATGCAAAGCTTCAGAGGTCTGGGTTGTTGTAGGTTTTTTCAGGCTATATGGCCATGTTCTAGAGGCATTCTCGCCTGACATTTCGCCTGCATCTATGGCAAGCATCCTCAGAGGTAGTGAGGTCTGTTTGTAATTCGGAGATTTGTATGATTCGTTAATACAAATCTCCAAATTACTAATCAGAACAGGACCCCTCCAAAGCATTACAAAATATAACAGAAGCCTCCAAAATGTTTAGGAGAAATTAGTAAACATTTTTCTTGTTTCAGAGCGTTTCAAGGTGTGTTCTTTTCCCAAGGTAACATACTGTTGCATCCCAGGGCAGGAAGCACCTCTGTCCTGAACCACCACGCTCCATAGAATCATAGAATCATAGAATCAAAGAGTTGGAAGAGACCTCATGGGCCATCCAGTCCAACCCCCTGCCAAGAAGCAGAATATTGCATTCAAATCACCCCTGACAGATGGCCATCCAGCCTCTGTTTAAAAGCTTCCAAAGAAGGAGCCTCCACCACACTCCGGGGCAGAGAGTTCCACTGCTGAACGGCTCTCACAGTCAGGAAGTTCTTCCTCATGTTCAGATGGAATCTCCTCTCTTGTAGTTTGAAGCCATTGTTCCGCGTCCTAGTCTCCAGGGAAGCAGAAAACAAGCTTGCTCCCTCCTCCCTGTGTCTTCCTCTCACATATTTATACATGGCTATCATATCTCCTCTCAGCCTTCTCTTCTTCAGGCTAAACATGCCCAGCTCCTTAAGCCGCTCCTCATAGGGCTTGTTCTCCAGACCCTTGATCATTTTAGTCGCCCTCCTCTGGACACATTCCAGCTTGTCAATATCTCTCTTGAATTGTGGTGCCCAGAATTGGACACAATATTCCAGATGTGGTCTAACCAAAGCAGAATAAAGGGGTAGCATTACTTCCTTAGATCTAGACACTATGCTCCTATTGATGCAGGCCAAAATCCCATTGGCTTTTTTTGCCGCCACATCACATTGTTGGCTCATGTTTAACTTGTTGTCCACGAGGACTCCAAGATCTTTTTCACACGTACTGCTCTCGAGCCAGGCATTGTCCCCCATTCTGTATCTTTGCATTTCAGTTTAATGTAAATCAGCAAAGCAGTTTATTGAAGATTATATAAAAAGCAGTTCAGCAAAAATAGTAAAAACTGTCAAAATCCAAATGTAGGAAACAGTCCACAAGATTCAAAGTACAATAGCAGCATCAAAAACTAGGGATACAAAGGAACCAGGATACATAAGGTAACTTAATTTCAGATAAAGGAGATTCAGGAACAATTCTTTAAACTTGGAAGCATGGAACAACAGCAACTGGAAATATGGAACTAGAAAACCCTTAGCAGGTTGACTTGGTAAGAGATGTATTTTCAATCACCAACGTTGAGCAAACTGCTGGAAAATCCCTCTGATCTCTCTAATAAATCTATGAAAGCATTCTGTCTTCCCTGACTATGTAATAATGACTTTTTCTCTTATAAGAGCTGTGACCTTTGCCAAGTCTGTGAGACAGCTTGGAGTCTGGAAAACTAAGCCTCCTATCTGGTCGCTTCTGACATGTGCTTTTCATCTTGAGAACAGACAAGCATCCTGAGCTCTGAGGATCATCTGGGAAGGAATCCCATTGGAACATTGCAGCACACCCAAAGACCTGGGAGTCACTCTGGACCGTGCTCTGACCTACAAGAAGCACTGCCTAAATATCAAGGCAAAAAGATATTGACAAGCTGGAATGTGTCCAGAGGAGGGCGACTAAAATGATCAAGGGTCTGGAGAACAAGCCCTATGAGGAGCGGTTTAAGGAGCTTGGCATGTTTAGCCTGAAGAAGAGAAGGCTGAGAGGAGATATGATAGCCATGTATAAATATGTGAGAGGAAGCCACAGGGAGGAGGGGGCAAGCTTGTTTTCTGCTTCCTTGGAGACTAGGACGCAAGGGAACAATGGCTTCAAACTACAAGAGAGGAGATTCCATCTGAACATGAGGAAGAACTTCCTGACTGTGAGAGCCGTTCAGCAGTGGAACTCTCTGCCCCGGAGTGTGGTGGAGGCTCCTTCTTTGGAAGCTTTTAAACAGAGGCGGGATGGCCATCTGTCAGGGGTGATTTGAATGCAATATTCCTGCTTCTTGGCAGAATGGGGTTGGACTGGATGGCCCATGAGGTCTCTTCCAACTCTTTGATTCTATGATTCTATGATTCTAAGTGGGCGCTAGAAATAATATCATAGGAAAGCTGACTGGCACAACCTGGGGATCACAACCAGATAGAGTTTTTAAAGTGTAACTCATCATCATCATCATTTAATAACTTATTAATCGCCCTCCATCCGAGAATGCTCTAGGCGATTTACAGTAAAAGATAAAATACATACATACAAAAATTAAAAATCAACAGAGATTGAATGCTCTAGTAAAAAGCCAGGTCTTAAGTGCGAGAGTAAAAGGCCCTAAGTCACACATGGCTCTCATGTAGGGCGGCAAGGAATTCCACAAGGCAGGGGCAGAAATAGAGAAAGCCCACCTGCGCCTGGTCCTTTCCAAGGGCACTTCTCTAGGACCCGGTATATGGAGTAAGTCGCGTTGGGCTGGTCGTTGCGACCTCCGATGATGGGAGAAGGAGAGGCGGTCCCTAAGGTACGATGGACCCTGGCCGTAAAGAGTTTTAAAGGTCAGAACTAGCATCTTAGACAGGCCACGGTACTCAGTTGGAAGCCAATATAAATGTTGCAGCACTGGTGTTCTATGGCATTATTTCATGGGCGTTCTTGTGAGTAGCCTGGCTGCCGCATTCTGAACAATACAAAGCTTTCGGGTCGTAGACATCGGAAGGCCCACATACAGGGCGTTGCAATAGTCCAGCCTAGACGTGACCGTGGCATGGATGACCGTTGCCAGAGCCTCGTCAGATAGGGAGGGTGCCAGTTGCCTCGCTTGTCGTAGATGGAAAAAGGCCTGTTTGCTGGCAGCAGCCACCTGAGCTTCCATTGTCAGCTGCGAATCCAGGATGACACCTAAGCTCTTAACAGTGGTCGATGGAGATAGGGCGGCACCATCGAAGGTGGGCAACGGAGGAGTCAGACCTGCCGGGCGGCCATGCCAGAGAATCTCAGTCTTCACTGGGTTCACCTTCAGTCTGCTAGCACGTAGCCAGTTCGACAGAGCTTCCAGACATAGGGTGAAATTGTCTGGAACTGACGTTGCTCCAGGCTCCAGGCGCAGAAGGAGTTGGGTATCGTCTGCATATTGGTAGCAGTCCAGGCCGAAACTCCGAGCCAAACTAGCAAGGGGTCTAACGTAGATGTTGAAGAGAAGAGGAGAGAGAATTGCACCTTGGGGGACCCCACATAGGAGGGAGGATCTATCAGAGACTTGATCCATGTACTCCACGCGTTGACTCCGGTTCCGGACATCTGTCCTTGTGCTATGCTCCTCTGCTGCTGAGTATGCATGCCTAGTGTGTGTTGTGGCTCGGTTTGAGCCTGAGCTTTCTGAACCTGCTCAGGCAGAGGAAGATGATGGGTTACAGATTTTTGAACATGTTCTGGTCAGTGAGTTAACTGAGGCAAACAGTGTTGATTCTGAGGAAGAGACAGCATTTCTGTTCCCTAGAGAAAGGAATGTGTTCTCTGATAAAGATAGTGAAACTTCAGAGCTCCAGGTGGAGGCTCCTTCTGAGAGGGCTGGGCCTCCTGGTTCCCAGGGCGACCAGGCCCAGCTGGGTGAAGATAATGAGCTAACCAGCCTTGAAGATAGTAGTGGAGATTCGATTAGAGAAGACTGGTTGCAATTAAGAGTTCGAAGAAGTGCATGCCTTGCCAACAAGCGTGAAGCTAGAGGTCAACGTAATGCTTTTATGTTGGGGAAACTTATTTAATGGTTTGACCGACGGGCATTCTCTTGTCAGTCCAATGTTGCTTCTAACCTGTTAACTTCTGTGGAATTACCTCGGCTTTTGTGGAAAGCTTTTGGCTCTTTGGGACTTTGATTTTGATCCTGATTTTTTGGAGACCTTTTCTTGCTACCATGGACGCTTGTTTAACCAATGCTTAAGGACTATGCTTCATGTTATTTGCCTTTGAAACCTGGATACCTTGCCTTTGCATTTAGTACTCTGTTTTACTCAATGAACTAGCTCCTTATATCCAGTAACACCCAGCTGCAACCCATCTGTTGCATACCTCCACCCTTAATTGCTTTCACCCATGAACTCTTACTTGCAGATTATTAAACCCTTTAGAACTAATACTTACATTAACCCTTCCATCACCAAGCACCATCAACTGCAGAACATATGACAGTTTGAAGCCCCGGTTGGTGTGAGCACCCGACTGTCAGCCCTGCTCGCTGTTTACCTAAGCAGTTCAAAAACAGCTTAGAGCTGTAAGTAGAGAAAATAAGTACCACTAAAGAAGGGGGGGGGGCATTTTATGACACCATAAAGAAAAAGATCAGAAAATGCCCGGCGATGGCTCTTTGTCATAGAGGATGGAGTGACAGCACCCCCCTGTGGATGGATTCGAGCCCAGCCTCCATGGTGCCAAAAAGCTGGATGTTGACACAACATACCTCCTTTCTGTTTTGTCTGTCTTTGTCTTGTCTATCCAAAGTGGCACTGAATGTTTGCTGTGTATGTGTACTGTGATCCACCCTGAGTCGCCTTAGGGACATAGGGTGGAATATAAAATGTTGTTATTACTATTACTATTATTATTATTATTATTATTCTCTTTACAGCATTTGCACCCATTCCATTTGGTGGGATTTACTTGCCTTTAGAAGTCATGCCCAACCGATGTCATTGTTCGCCCCTCGTCCTTGCCTACGATCAAGCGCACTTCTCTGCCCTCGTGTCCATGGAGCAAAAAGATCAACAGAGGGAACAAGGTATGGCAGATACAAAAGTAAATGGTATTGGAGTGGAGGGTAATGCAGAGCTGGTGGGCACGCTTATTATCATGGGAGTTCTGTGTGCCAAGTTTGGTTCAATTCCATCTGAGTAAGATCCTCTTTCAATTTTATTGTTGGTGCGGTTCAGAATGCTCTTTGATTGGAGATGAACTCTAAATCCCAGCAACTACAACTCCCAAATGTCAAGATTCTATTTTCCCCAAACTCGACCAGTGTTCACATTTGGGCATATTGAGTATTCATGTAGAGTTTGGTCCAGATCCATCATTGTTTGAGTCCACAGTACTCTCTGGATGTAGGTGAACTACAACTCCAAAACCACCAAACCCTTCCAGTATTTTCTGTTGGTCATGGGAGAACTGTGTGCCAAGTTTGGCTCAATTCCATCATTGGTGGGGTTCAGATTGTAGGTGAACTATAAATCCCAGCAACTACAACTCCTAAATGACAAAAATCATATTTTTGAGTGAAGGACATGCATTGGGTTGTTACGTATCTTGTGTCCAAATTTGGTGTCAATTCGTCCAGTGATTTTTGAGTTCTGTTAATCCCACAAACGAACATTACATTTTTATTTATATAGATTGATAAGAAGATCCTTCCTCTGGTTTCTCCCAGAAATATGACGAACAGAAGAGCTTCACAAAACAACGTCCAAACTGAAACAACATGTTGTTGTTTATAACTCCATACTGGTGTTTTGTTTTGGTTTTTTTAAAATGCTGAATTCCCACATCAAGCCTTACATACCTTCCACGACATTTCCCTTTGAAGACGCTTTCCCTGTGCAAAGCAAACCGAAGCCTTTTGCCTCGCTCAACCTTGCCGTCTCAAGCCAGCCACTGCCATCCCAAAATCCTTTTAATCATGGGGTTTGAGCTGATTGATTCCTAGAAGCTTTTGATTCATGAATTTGTCAGTTCAAAGGCACAAGGAACTCTTTCTGTCAAAAGGATGGTTTCCCACAAAACGGGGAAGTGTCGGTGGCTCTCCTGCCAGCCAGGCTCAAAGCCTCCTTTGATTCCAGCAGCACAAGGAAACACTATGAGCGGAAGGGATGCGGCGATTGCGAGGCGCTGCTCGGCAGACATGTTCACATCCATTTGGAAAGATCAGATACATTTCCGGGCAGCTTGTGGGAGACAGTCAAGGAAGAGCAGAGGCAGGAGGGGGGTTACTGCTCTTCTTAATAGATTTGGCACCAATGAACAACCCTAAGAATACAGATCTTTGTCTCCACGAAGCTAAGCCATGTCTCATATTGGTAGATCATCCTCACGCCTCTCCATGCTCGAATGTGGCTCTCAAGAATCAAATTCCAGAACTATAATCTTCTGTCAAATGCTATAGATTAAGCTGTCACGTTTTCTGCTGTTGCTGCTTTTCTGGAAGAAGTATAGCACGTCCAAAATGTACATTCTACCTAATATAGTTTAGCTTTGTAGAATTGTTTTGGGTGGTTTGAAGTTTCTCTGACTTTTTGACTAATACTCAGGGAGGAGAATTCACTGCAGCTGACAGATTAGTCTCAATACCTCTGTAATGACGCCACTGAATATGCAATTTTTGGAAAACGGAAATCTCCAGAACCTTTTTGGAGATTTTATGATTTTTGGAAAGGCATGACCTTGTTAGAAGTCACAACTTTTTGAAAAATGATGCCCTAACCTCTTGGTAAAAGCATGACCTGTTAGAGCCACAACCCTTTTGGGAAAATGGCATTCACAAACATTCATACGAGGGTAGCTCTCGCGGGGAATTTTCTCGGGGGAAGTTGGTATCTAAAAGCATACTGTTTCTGTATTGAAGTATCTAAGCATACTGTTTCTGCTGGCATCTGAAAGCAAACATCTGTTCCAAAATGGAGTCTGAGTCCTGAACAAGCCCAGACCAGACCCTCCCACAACAAAGAGTTAAGGTCAAATTGCATACCAATACACACATATACAATACAGTAAGCAATCTGGATTATATACATAACAGCAGCTTGAAGAAGGTGGCAGCTTGAAGAAGCATTAGACAATTGAGATAAAAGCGGAATATAAGTATAATGAAGATGATAAATAATAATTTACCATTCTTTTCTCTTATGCGGTCCCCACTCACCTCCAAATGCGTCCACATTTAGAAGGTTTATTTATTTATTTATTTATTTATTTATTTATTTATTTATTTAAAAGTTTTGTATACCGGCCTTCTCACCTCTCTTGAGGGACTCAGACCGGTTTCCAACCATAATCTCACATACAATCAATAAAACATCAAAATACATACTACAGTAAAACATTAAAACAGCAATTACAAACAATAACTATAATGGTCAGTCGTCACACTAAAATCGTTGCTCATCATCCTCCATCCATATCTCAGGGTGTTGGCTCACTCGCCGAATGCCTGTCTCCATAACCAAGTCTTCACCTGTTTCCTAAATGTCAGGATAGACGGGGCGGTTCTGATCTCCAGTGGGAGAGAGTTCCAGAGTCGAGGGGCCACCACCGAGAAGGCCCTGTCCCTCGTCCCCACCAGACGCGCTTGCGAGGCCGGTGGGACCGAGAGCAGGGCCTCTCCAGACGATCTTAATAATCTTGATGGTTCATAGGGGAGAATACGTTCGGAGAGGTAAACCGGGCCGGAGTCGTTTAGGGCTTTATAAGTTAACACCAGCACTTTGAATTGTGCTCGGAAGCTAATTGGCAGCCAGTGGAGCTGGTGTAACAGCAGAGTGGTGTGCCCCTGTACCCAGCACCCGTTAGTAGTCTGGCTGCCGAGCGTTGGACTAGCTACAGCTTCCGGGCAGTCTTCAGAGGCAACCCCACATAGAGAGCGTTGTAGTCGTCTAAATGGGATGTAACCAAAGCATGGACCACTGTGGCCAAGTCAGGTTGCCTGCCACCTTTTTGAAACTTGTTTTGCTTCAAATGCACTTTGTAGTATGTGGCTCGAGTTGCTGGTTTATTCAAATCCTGGCTCAGCCATGGAAACCCACAGAGTGTCACTCTCTCTCAGCCTCAAAGGCAAAAGCAAACCCCTCTGAACAAACCTTCTTAAAAAAACCTGTGATAGGTTTGCTTCGGGGTCACTGTAAATCAGAAACAACATGTAGGCATTCAACCGCAACTCTACAGGAAATGATAAGAGATTAAAGCAGTGGGTGAGATGAGAAAGGGGAAGCTGAGTGGGTACATAACAGGAAGGGAAAAGGTTAAGTAACCTTCCTTCTCCTTCCTCATTACCCTTTGAGGGAGGATCTAGCAGGTAGGTTGAGCCTCTGTTTACTTGGAACAGAGAATGAGATAGAAGAAGATGGCTGAATCTTAAATATTGCACTCTATGTTAAAGCTGTGTTGTTGAGCTTTACTTGCAGCTAAGCCTGTGTAACACCGTACCATTCTCTGAAAAGGCACTCAAATGCAGACATGCTGGTCCCATCTTATTTCAATTTGTATCAAGCTGAAGATCAATCCCGACAAGACAGAGGTCCTCCTGGTCAATCGTAAACCGGATCGGGGTATAGGATGGCAACCTGTGCTGGACGGGGTTACACTCCCCCTGAAGTCACAGGTCCACAGTTTGGGAGTCCTCCTGGATTCATCACTTACGCTTGAGGCTCAGGCGTCGGCGGTGTCCGGGAGGGCTTTTGCACAACTAAGACTTGTGCGCCAGCTGCGACCGTACCTCGCAAAGGTTGATTTGGCTGGGGTGGTCCATGCCTTGGTCACCTCTAGATTGGATTACTGTAATGCGCTCTACGTGGGGCTGCCCTTGAAAACGGCTCGGAAATTCCAACTGGTCCAACGGGCGGCGGCCAGGATGTTAACTGGCGCTCCTTACAGAGAGAGGTCAACCCTCCTGTTTAAGGAGCTCCATTGGCTGCCGTTCACCTACCGAACCCAATTCAAGGTGCAGGTGCTTACCTACAAAGCCCTAAACGGTTTGGGATCTGCCTACCTGCATGACCGCATCTCCGTTTATGAACCCACGCGCTCCCTTCGTTCATCCGGAGAGGCCCTGGTCGCGATCCCACCTGCGTCACAGGCACATTTGGTGGGGACGAGGGACAGGGCCTTCTCTGTGGTTGCCCCCTGACTTTGGAACACCCTCCCCAAAGACATTAGATTGGCACCCACGCTGGCAGTTTTTAGGAAGAACTTGAAGACCTGGCTATTCCGATGTGCCTTTCCAGAATAGGATAACCCCCAGCACGATGTCCCAGAAGCACTTTATTAGAATTTAAGACTCTCTGCACATTGCACTTGCCCAGAATTCCAACATACCACTTCTCACACCCAGGACTTTTTAACTTGTACCCATCACTGGCCCGGCCCTGGTTTTTATTGCATAATTGTGTAATGTTTTGTTATTGCTTATGTTTTTAATTTGCTTTGAATTGTATTGTTATTGTTTTGTTGTTGTTGTGTTGAGGCCTTGGCCTTTGTAAGCTGCATCGAGTCCTTTGGGAGATGCTTGCGGGGTACAAATAAAGTTTAATAATAATAATCATAATAATAATATCGGTCTTGATCCATGTGTTGCACATTACGCCATCCAAACAGTGTGTCCATGTGTCTGTCGAAGGCTTTCATGGCTGGAATCCCTGGGTTCTTGTGAGTTTTCCAGGCTGCCTGGCCAGGTTCAAGAAGCATTTTCTCCTGACCTTTCACCATGTCTATGGCAGGCATCATCAGAGGTTGTGAGGTTTGTTGGAAACTAGAAAGTGGGATATATAACTATATTTCCATCTATGAATCAGCACGAACTCCAAGATCCTCCAGGGAGGCCCTCCTCTCGCTCCCACCTCCGTCACAAGCACGGTTGGTGGGGATGAGAGAGAGGGCCTTCTCGGTAGTGGCCCCCCGCCACTGGAACGCCCTTCCTAGGGAAATAAGACAGGCCCCATCCCTCCCCTCTTTCCATAAGAGTTTGAAGACTTGGTGGTTTCAACAAATCTTCGAGAGTGACCAGTGTTAGCTGAGCCT